ATTTTAAAGAAAAATTATGAGGATGTATTTTAAAATAACTTTAACAACCAGAAACTACAATTTCTGGTTCAGTTTAGAAACACCGCATGTAACATTAGTTTTGAAAAGTTGTTGAGCCGCATGTTGCATCTTATAATTATGAATGAGAAAAACGTGTGCCAAAGATGCATAAGTTTTACAATTATTTTATTTTTGAAGTGATAATGCATTTCAGGACTCAGTCCCATCATCAGAGCTGCAAGATACATTGCCAAGGTACAATCAGTTACATGTTAAAAAAATATAATAGACTTACAAAACAAGAGACAAACTGGATGTACAGTAAAACACGATATTAATGAAAATTGCAGCATAAAATTGTAAAAATTATGCATCTTTGGCACACGTTATTCTTATTCAACATTAGTTTTCCTTCTTACACGAGTTTTTTCACCGAAGAGACTCATAAGCGCATTCTGGGATGAGCCTCGAGAATTATTAGAGTATATGCTAACCGTGGCTCATGCAGAAATAAACTTACGGCTGTTCTCCGTAGTAAGACGGAAAATATGAGGATTTTGGGGCCTGGTTGCTGTTGCTCCTGATCATACTGACAACCAGCTTGGCGCAGTGCTCCGGAGCCCGGCCGCATCTCACGATCAGTCGCCCAACACAACTCGGCGCGCTTACGTCCGACTCCGAATTTCTGATTTTTTTTTTGGCCCATCCGTCGTTCCATCCACTCAAATCGCGCGCGGTTACTCATCTCTTTGTGGACCTCCTCCTGTGTATTTTCATCTGTGCATCGGTCTGTTCAGTGTCCCTGGCTCCCAAAAAGTGGATTCCATCCATGTGCTCTGAGAAAGTTTTGGATAAAAGTTGACGACAGGTATTGAAATTTTCCCACTGCTAGACTCAAATGACATTTACTGGAATGGAAAATTTGTATGCACATTTTTAATTTCTTCATCTGAAAGTGCTAAAAAAGCTGATTCCACAGTATTTTTTAGAATTTTTTTCTGATATGGGAAATAAGTATAAAAGTAGATTCAAAAGTGAGAAAATGCACCGCTTAGTGACGTCAACTGGCGGCATTTCCCATTTAAACACATGTATTTTAGCAGATTAGATCATTTTGTCATATCTCCTCTAATAATTGTTCAATTTATGAACCAAGGGTATCCTCGTGCTCAGTTTACTCAGTAGTTTCCACTCAAACACGAAATTCATCAAATTTCCGACACCTGCAAATTCTCTATTGGTCTAACTGTGTTATGTGTTACCTAGTTTCTTCTCAGTTTCAATTGTTCTAGGAGAAGACTAAAAAGGAACTTTTTTCACTGAAACTTCGTGACTTTCGACTGGCGCATGTACGTCCAATTTCCTAAAGCAGAAAAAAATGTGGAAAAATCGTGAAAAATGTAGTGAAGTAGATACAAAAGAAAATACAGTCCATTTTTTACAAAGAAAATGCGCAAATATACAGTTGTTTCTACTTTTTTACGGACGAACTTGTTACGAATTCTTGAGCTTCAGTAATTTTCTTACTTACGGCCGCTAAGCCCATAAAAATGATCAGTTTTAAATTTGTTTACGGTTTATTTTACAATCTATGCAGAGTCTCAGCATCCCATGATATTGAATTTGGAAGTCCCTTTGACCAAGGAAATTAGACCAGTAACTTACTTATTTGAACGCATCAATAAATTTACCTTCAAATAGATAATTTTCATATTTTTCCGGCCTATTTCATGTCTCCTCGATAAACTCTTAAAAAACCATCGCGCTTGCTGAACCTATCAATGATTTGTCATTGTCATATATACTTACTAATATGTCTTTCATATATACTTACTAAGGCGGGGTCTTAACTTATTTTGCTTCTCTCTAAGATCCATGAAAATAAGGTATGGCTAGGAAAATAATTTGAGAAGAAATTCAATAGAGTAGACAAATGGATGGTGGTGCTGGGTCTAGAGTTCATAGCACTTTCTTCCTTATCAAATCAGTCGTTAAGCACATTTTATTTAAGAATTGAGTATGAAGATTAACTAACTACCTGACTTTCCATGCAGTGAGCACCAGTTACGCATGAAAACCTTGCTCTGTTTTTCCGCCTTTCTCAAACTAACGACGACCATTTAAAAACATAGTGCGATTTTTCACGGTCTTAGGTTTGGAGATGCAATTCTCTAAACCAATTTTTGCGTAAAAAGCATAAACCATTGAATGCTTCGTACTTAAATTATCACCTAAAGTTGTAATTGCAGAAACAAGCTTTGAAAGTACCTGTGTCTGAGGTTGCCTTTAAACGATCAAAGTAGGGTCTTTGAAGTGGAACTCAAGTTTCTAGTGCATTAAAAATCAAGTGCATAGTGCATAATTTTAGATAAATACTGACCCAGTCGATAAAAATAGTTTAGTTTCCGGTAAGATGGGTGCGATGTTCTCGATGAATCGAACTATCCGCTTTTCCATTTTCTTTCGAAACTCGTTGATGCGTTCATCCTAAACTCTGCTTGGTTTAAAAATTCACCGATAGTAGCAATTCTGGAAAGCTTGCAATCCCCCCTCTCCAATTAAATTCATTACACATTCATCCCCCAAAATTTCAGACAAAACATTTCAAAGAGGGAAAAAAATTGAAGATGAAGCATTTTGCAGTAGGAGAACTTGAATCGTGAGTAGGTCTACTTCAGCAGCGACAAATTGGACTACATTTTGCAATTTGGAACTATAAATTCTATCCCGGTTTAAAAACGACGTATGTGCCATTAATTTCCTTATGCACATAAGTGTTTTTCCGGAAGAGCCAGAATTTATAGTTCCAAATTGCAAAATGCAGTCCAATTGCAATTCGGTTTATATTTGTGCGTCGTTCAGTGGGCAATGTCGAGCATGAGAGGACCTGTTACACGGTTTACGGTCCGCGGCCCGGTTCGGACTGAGGCCTGTCTTTGCCGAGTTTGAGTCCGGTGATAGTGCGGTAGGTGGTTTTTATTTGTCAATCATTTGCCTGGATTACCGCTCTTTTATTTTCAGCGCTGACGGTGCCAGCGGGAGCGAGGTAATTAATTCGCACTCAACAACCAATTCACGCTGAGATAAAGCCCATGAGCTCACGTTTGCTCAGCTCGGAATCATTCATTTTCGTGGGTATTCCTTTTTGGACGTATTCACGCTAAAACGGACCATGTGCAAATGTGTTCGGTAATCAAAATTAACTACAGTAGAGTCTCAATTATTCGCGATAATTGGGACCGGAGATACCGCGCGCGGATAAGACGGCCGGAAAAAGTAATCCGAAAGACTGTATTTTAAAGGAATCAGTAAAGACACTTACCATGCAATAGAAAAGAATATAATTATTAACTAAGAATCAATAAACGTTACCTTCTTAAACAAATTAAACTTTATCTCTTGAAGAATTTTTTGATGGAAGATTGAGTCATGGTCCCGTTTTTCCGTTCGGTCCCTGTCGCTTTCAAAAGAAATAGAAAAAGTAAAAAAAAGTCCGCTCCACAGACCGCGGATAATCGAGACTCTACTACATTTGCGTAGGATTTGCACCCTATACAGTTTTTACTATCTCGCTCCTCTCATGGGTAGAGGAAGTATTGGAGGGTTTGGATTCGATCGACAAATTTGTGAATCAATTGAAAAACCCCATCGATAAACCTGTAAATAGATCGACAAACTCGTGAATCGATCGAATCATGCTGATCGGTTTACGTTTTTATTTTTCGATCGATTCATGTCAATCGAATCGACACCGGGTTTTTGATAGTATGTCTTTCAAATCTGTGCCGATCGGTTCACGTCAATCGATCCATGTCGATTGAATCCACACCCTCTGGAAGTATTGAAAAAAAATTGAAATTCCGTAATTTCTAGACTTATTAAGGTGCCCGAGTCAAATAACCTTGACATTGNAAAAAAAAAAAAAAAAAAAAAAAATACTCTTGATTCAATCGGACTTTTGCGTGAATCAAAAAGAAATCCGCTTGAATTAAGAGGCTTAAGCCTCTTAATTCAAGCGGATTTAGGCTCTCGATCTAAGCAAAAATCCGTTTGGATCAAGATTATTTTTTCTTGTCGATGTTTTCAAGAGTCTGGACTCTAGGTCCAACCGATTTTTTCCCCAATGATAAACCGAGGAAAACCATCGAAATAATAATTCCACCCGGCTTTGAAACGCGTAATTAGGTCAGTCGTTCGTGTTGGCCTAAATATCCTAGAACGAACATGTCACCTATTCAGACAACATTACGCAATCGTTTATTTTTCTTTTTCTTTCGAATTCGAAATCTTGTCAAAACTGACCACTTCCGATTCGTCGAGGACACTTAACAATCAGTGGTGAGGCGCGAATGGTCGCTTATCGATAAATCTCCATTTGAAGCTATGGTAAAGAATCGATTATTTAAGAGTTCGTTGCGAACACCTTGTTTATCGATCCATTTCCGTAGGTATAAATGGCAGATCAATCGATTTATCGCAAAGCACACCACGCCACTGCTTAAGAACATTGCCCGGGGATCTTAACCCGCACAGCCCAAACAAAGCCGAAGTTCAATACGGTGAATTAATAAGCGCATGTGTTCAGGCGAGTCCGCCGCGCTTGTGAGTAAAAACAACGTACCCACGCGGAACTTTGCGTTGAAGATGAGTAGTTTTGTAGAAGTAAGGTCAAACAGCCGGCGCGGCGCGCGAACGGAAGAAAGTGAGAGTATTAAATCGAGACAGAATTTCGTAATTGGTAATTAGGAGTGCGTCAGTACCTCGCGAACGAGCGAAAAGACGTATTTACAGTTGGAGATGAACCTTGTCGTGTGTATAACTTAACACTCTTCGGGGCTCAAAGAGGCACTGATTAACGTCCTATTCCACGTCAGGAGTGATGAAATATAGAGCTACTAAGTTCATTGGAGTAAAAATAGAGTTTTTTTGCACATTTCAGTGAGCCGAAATAAGTCGATTTTTGTACTTTTTATATAATTTGGCGCCGTATGGGTTTTTTGATAGTGAGGTCGTTTACATGATACATGACTGACGTCTTAAGGGAAAGCGACGTGTAAACACAAAGACGCCGTCAACTTCTTACTGCCAAAAACCAAATTTTGTTGATAATAATTTAAGGCTCTATTTTCATTTAAAACTTTTCTCTGAATCTCATTTACTAATAAACCATGTCAGAAAAATATTCTGTAATTTTTTTTTTCTGATAAAAAAAATTCATCACCAAAAAAAGGCAACGTCCAAATGTTCCCGCAGATTTCTCCTAGCTTAGCAAATGATTCGTTGCATATTCAAACATTTTGAATGGGATATAAGATCAAAAATATCGTAGGAGGGGATCAGTTGGACGTATTTATGCTAAAAGGAACTATGTTACACGCAAACCATGTGCACATAGTTCCTTCTAGCATAAATACGTCTAATTGTAAAAAAAATCTTGAAAATTTAAAAATTATCCAGAGCAAATATCGTTCACCCTTGGCATCAAGGGCAATGATATCAATTAAACGTGATGAGACTACAATCTCAGGTGAGTGAGTCTGAATATTTGCATGAAGATATCAGCTCTACCTCGTTAAGGAAAAACACCATATGTTCATTTGAATGTTACCAAATTTCCTCCGAGAAAATATGTGTTATTGAACAAAGTTATGAACATTTCTCCTTGAAGCATTCAGAGTCTCTGGACTAAACTGTGTGGATGAAGTTTTCTTAAAGGAGAATTCAAGAAAAAAATAACAATTTTTTGTTAAATAAACTATGATTTATTGAATAACTTTAGCAATGGCAAAATACTCATACGACGTTTAAATTTACAGCTGCTAAATGACCTCAACAAGAGCAACGGTCCCCGTATACGTGCTCGATTTA